AGATATTTTTACTAGGATCTACCTATCACTACCTAAGATAACTTAGAGATCACTGTGCATATAGTTAGGAAGCGCCCAGCACTCAGCTCAATTGAGATGGTCTGACATTGTTTTTGAAGAGCCAGCTGAACGAGTAGAATCAGCAAAATCAGCTGAATCTACCGAGGGAGAGGGAGCTGTCTTAATTTGGATGAGGGGCATGGGCATTTGGGGGTCCCAGAGATATCCGATCACGCCGTTCAGTTAGATTCTGTTTCATGACATGCCGATCCAACGCGAACCGAACCGAGTTGAGCTGGCACCACAGAACCAAACACACAAAAACAATACAGCGGCACATATAGTGCACATGACTATTAGATAAGTTTATTATAGAATAAATAAGCGTGCGGGCCCGAACCCAAAGCCCAAAGCCCAAACCCGAATGCGAATGCGAGTGCCATAAAGAAGTTAAGCAATTCAGACAGTTTAGAGCATAAATTGTTTAATAGAGTTTATACGCCAATTGGGGGCATAAAGAGTGTCGCATTTTATAATTTCGTTTTTTTTTTGTTTTCTATTTCTATTTTTTCTTTTTCGCGTCGAACTGCAGACGCACATCCCCTGGCACAGACTTTCCAGATAGGCGATTGGAAATACGTAACGCTGGCAAAGTTCAGGGTCCCAGTGGACGGAATCAGAAGCACTATGGCTAGTGGTTCTTCCAATCTTTGACTGGCGGCGTTTATCGGCCATCGGACGACGAATTATGTAACTTTATGAGGGCTCACAAGTGGCCAGAACCCAAAACCCAAACATATGAAACTAAGTGGCAAAAAGAACATAATCCACTCGACGGAGCGATAGTCATCTGTAGAAAATGGCGCCAAGAAATACCGTGGCCCCCATTGATTTTCTGATAACGCTCTCAAGAATTCCCAGGGAATTTATGCTCCAAGTGTGTTTTTTAAGGCACATTTTTTGCAATAAACTTGACTTTAACGTCCAGTTTTAAAACAAAACGGAACAGGCATTTAAAGTGTTCCTAACAGATTACATTACATATAACAAATAAGAACGACACGTTGCCGTTATTTATTTTATTATTGAATGAAGCAATTAAACAGTAAGCTATAAAGACAAATACTTAAGATAACAATAGAACCGAAAACGTGACAACGAATACTTCTTATTGTAAAATTAACACTTACTATTAGGAATATAGTCCAGAATTGGATCCAGCCGAATTGGTGACCCCAATGGGTTATCAATCGGGAAACTGGTGCCCAACGCGGGACCTAAAAATAGACCAACTTACATCTGGTTCTAAAAGTATCACTTACTACTAAGAATATAGCATTAGCATTATTCCCACCGCCGCGATCTAGTCCAGAATCGGATCCAACCGAACTGGTGACCCCAATGGGTGTCAATCGGGAAACTGGCGCCCAACGCGGGGCCTATAAATAGACCAAGCGCCTGATGATGGGCCTCGATGATAAATTGCCACTTGATGATCGCCAATTAAGCTGGCGAAATTAATGCGAAATATGAGAAGTGGTAATGCCAATTCAAATTCCCCAATTACCACAGTCTGCGCCAATCAATTAGTCATTTACTATACTATAAATGTATATATTTGTACAATAGGCACCATATAGTTGCTGCCGCTGCCTTCACCTACTTACCATTAGGTCGGTTATCGCAGCCACGCGTCTTTGGCTCTTCTGCTAGCCGACTATTTAGGGCGGGCCACCTCCTGGGCTCCTAATCTTGGCCAGGTTGGCCAGTTCCAGCGCTATCGCAGATCAAAGTTTTACGCTTTTTGCTGTATTCTTTGTTTGGCTTTTGCTCGTCTTACGGGCTTTATGGCCAAACGATTGCCTGGCCGTTGCCTAAGCCAATTTGAATGCAGCCGGCAAGAGAGAGGCTCGCGAAAAAAGCCTCGTTAAATGCGAGCAAACACCAGAAGACGGACGACGATCGAAGATCGACGGGCGGTTTACAGGGGCGGCGGTGGAGGGGGGCGTTGACCGCAGTGGGAAACGCATGCGCAGTTCACGTGAACAGATAGCCAGCGTTGACAAATTAGCCGGTTTTCTGGCCATTTCTTAAATTCCCTAACCGCAAAAATGTAATTTTTAATTTTTTTTGTTGATATTTTACGGATCTCATGGATGCTAGAACTTGCGAATTCTTTAAAATGTGTCTTTATATATTTTTCTAAATTTATTTTCTGATTAAACAACATTAAATCCCATTAATATCAATATTTTTATAGTTCTACAAAACACTTAGACTTATAAAATTGCGCATACGCACTGTTAGCCAAGTCTATTATTCAAAAACTGCTAGTTGCTTATCAAAACTCAAAAATAATCTCTGTCTCCTTTATAAAAAATTTAAGAAACATTAAATATTTAAGTTTTATTTTAAAACATTGTGATTAATCTACTCGGAAATGTGAAAAACACAAAGTGACTTAATTAAATCACTCATACGCAGTGTTTACCAACTTTATAAGCACACCTGACTTATGAGTAATTTAATTACAAATTGCACTAAAGTAAGCAATATTAAAGTATTGTAAAATTTTTAAGCCAAGTTCTGATTGGCTTTGCTTACCACAAAAAAAGCTTTCTGGCCAACACTGAGCCGAATTGAAGACGCAGTCGACGATTAATAGAAAATTATTTCACGTTTGCTTGTGTGTTTTATTTTATGTTTGTCTGTGCGTTTTTCGACATATGTTAATTGTGCATTTAAAATTGAAATAAAATGTAGCTTGTCGCAATTTATTTGATACGTTAACTTGTTGTTTCTGCGACCGTCTGCCCGTCCAGACGTTTTTGTTTGCATTTAAATTTAGATCAGCTGGCGAATTTGTTACACCCAAAGAGAAAATGATTTTAAAGTTGCTAAAGTTGCTGATAGATATAGAAAATTTAATGAATTTAAAAGTAAGAAATAAAGGTGTAAAATATGCTTTATTTAAATACGTTTTTGGACTTTAATGTCTTTGATATTTTTATATATTTTTGAATAACTAGAGAAAATAGAAAATCTTTTTATAAAGTATAATGTATCAAAAGCTTGACTAGTTGTAAGAGTATTTGTAATATCTTTCATAGAAAGCAGGAACAACTTCATAAGGAACATATGGTAAAATTCCATTTAAGGAATAACCAGCCAGTCAATTATGGAAAACTGCCCTGATAAGCTGTATATTCCGGTCAGTTTACATTAGACCCCCCAGACGAAGCCATAAAAATCCACCCGAACAATTAACCTTTTTGTGCGAAACTCGTTTGCAATCAGTTTTTTTCACACCTTTGGCTGGCAAACATGGCCAACATTTTGCCGTGGGTGTAGGGTGCGTTTGGCGAATGGGCGTTATGGAGTTGGAAATTGGGTTTTGTGGGTTAAGGGGGGCGTTTTGGGGGTCTGCCACCTATGTGGGCCAAAGGAATGGCTCCCTTTTCGGCGTATTTATTTTCGTTTTTTTCGGTCTGACGAGGTGAGCACAACGCCAAATAATAATAAAAATGTGAGAATCTTGAAAAGGTAATTAACACATGGTCGTGTTTGCTTTATGCGCCATAAAAATAATCAAAAAATCGAGTCACACATCCGAACATCTCCCCAGTTGTCCGAGTGCGAAGTGATCGGATCGGAGAGCCTATAAAAGCGGATCAATCGCCGCTGGTTCTGCGCAGTCACTCCTAAGAAGTGCCCACTGTATCAGCTCAACTCGAAACTCCCAATCCTAATCTCAATCGGAATCAAGAACGCATTCTTCTCGAAAATATATATAAAAAACTCAAGTGCGCGTTAAAAGTTCGCTTTCGGTATTACTTTCTTATAGAGTTCGGAAAAACATTTTAAACAAACAGTAAAATGCATTCAGCGTAAGTTGTTCATCATCACATCAGCAAACTGTCCTTGTCCTTGTCGAAACAAAAAAAAAATAATAAAAAAAATGTTTATAAAACTCATTTGCTGGCGATCCAGCTGATAAGCGACTTTTACTCATTTACACGCATTACCCGCACATCAAAAGTGAATTAAAAATAAACAAAACAATTTGGCAACTCAACCTGCAACTGTTAATCTACACGGGGAAAAGTCACTGAGTTTTAAGGGGTTCTAAGGAATTTAATGGGTTTCTGGAATAGTTAGGGAAAGGGTATTTAATAAAATTTTTAGGAAAGCAAATACCATTACTATCATATTTGATGTATAGATAATACTTTGAAAATTATCCCTGTTTAAAAAGAAAATAATCTTTTCAAAACAGTACTATATTTACAAGATGTATTTAAACATTCCCCAAAATAACCAGTTTATTACTATATGAGCATTTCATTTTAAAAATGGTATTACATTTACAATTTAAACATTTCCCTATAACCATTGCTTAAAAATATCATAAATCTAAATTAGAACTATTTTTTATTTAAAAAGAATTCTTAAGAATTAAGAAATATGATTTTTTTTTAGTCTTACTGGTGTCGTGTATTATTATAGATTACAATTTTTAGTTGTTTTATGGAAATCAAAGTAGTACCAATTTTTGTCGGTGTAACCGGAAGCGTGAGCCAGGAATCCAATTGGGAGAGCAGCGCTCTCTCCCTCTCGCTCTCGCGCCACAAGCGACAAACTGCAAACCGTCTAATCCCAGTGGGTGGGAGTGGGAGGGCGAGCGGGTGCGCGTGCGAGTGCGAGCGAGAGAGAGGGGGCGTTGATCGTGCGGCGACTGCGCTGCAGCAGCGCTGCTTTAGCGTCGACCACAACAGTTGTTGCTTGTGTTTTCAATGGCGCGCTGCCCGCGTCGCTGCCGACGTCGCAGTCGCTGCTAGTTTGTTGTAAGTATAGTACATAGTGTAGTGTGTAGTGTGTAGTGTAGTGTATAGTATAGTGTATATGGCCGTATAGTATAGTTTATACAGCAACAACGGGCGCGTTGCTTTTGTTTTGCTTTGTTGTTTGTTGTTGGTCATTATAAATTGAGTTGGAACAAGGGGCTCCAGCTTAGTCGTGTTCCAGTAACGCTTCCGCGCACACCAAAAAAATTCCGATTCCGAATTCAGAACCAACTGAAATTCCCGAAATCCCAGAAAGGACGCAGACGTGTCCCAAATCACCCATCAGATAGTCAGCCCCAAAGAGAGTGCAAATAGAAATCAGGTGCGGATCCAAGAATCAACAAAAAAAAAGAAGCTAGAATCCGACTCGAGTGCCAAACGAACATTGTTTATTTCTGATCCACTCTACCTTTTTTTTGGGTGCCCTAATCGCAAGAGCAGTATGTCCGGTAGGATCCTGGAGGACTCGCCCAATGCGCGCATCAACAAGACGATCCTCGACCGCTACCTGTCGCTGCCGCTGCAGGAGAACATCGTCCAGGCCACCTACGTGTGGATCGACGGAACCGGCGAGGACCTGCGCTGCAAGGATCGCACCCTTGACTTCATCCCCCAGAGCCCCAAGGGTGAGTCCATGAAAATACATTAGGGGTGCTGTTATAGAACTCAGGATAGTTAAAAATACCCATTAACCAATAATCTTGGTATTACCAAGAGATATTATAGACTGTTTTGGATTTGTAGTTACATATATAGTTTGCATCCCAATTATTTCTGAGTTTCCAATCACAAACCTATTCCCATTTCTTAAATTGTACCTACAATATCAATTTAGATCTTACACAGATTGAAACTAAAATCCCATTATCAAATAACCTTTTCTTGGGATTAAAATATCTGAAGGATCCTAAAATATACTATGCAGTTTCTCACAAAGCTGATAAAGAAATCTAAACCTTAAGTACCTTAAAACACCCCTATATTATTACCTGAAAAAGACCTCAGCAAATACCTTCTATTTGTTCGATAATGCCCAATTATAATTCCCGATTAGTTTCTTGTTAAATAGCGCTTCGATCAAGTAGTTGAAATACCGGCATTAGGTATTTTCTAGCTTATCGCAGCATAGGTCGTGCTCGCACTTGATTTATGTGCCAAATACTTGATTTTCTGCGAGTGTAATCTTATCTGGAGTGGCTAAGCTCTTAAAACTGTCTCCGTCTCAGGCGCTGCCTGGATTTATCACTACACTACAAAAGTTTTTGGCGATCCAAGTCGCTTTTATAACCAGCTGCTAAACGTAATGGGGTTTTAATGGGTCGGGTGTGAATGAACTTAAATTCCAAAATGGGAGTAGGATTAGAAAGAAAGTTAAGCTGGAATATAAAAATCAATTCGAATTTTTAACAAACGACTAATTCAATTGATTAGAAACATTAAAAAAGTAACGAATATATAAGGCTCACCTTTAAAAATACCCAAAACAAAAGAAATAGAACAAAGAATCACAAAGAAAGTACTCAAAAAAGAAGAAAGAAAAGATAAGTCTCGCCAGGTGCTAATTTCTACAAATTAGTCAAACGCCTTTAATGACCAGAAATACAGGCACACACTCTTAAATTAGAAGCTAATTGAGTGAACTTCTAAATTCAGACGATGTGTTGAGTTTCGTTCACAGGTTTTATATAACAGATCATTCCAAAGTCATGGTTTATTTACATTTATTATTAAAAATGCCCAAAACTCTCAAGATACATTTGCAATTTCTTTAGACAAACTAGTTATCAAATCAAAAAGCTAAATATATTTTATTCCCATAAATCAAAAACCATATTTATGTAGCACTCATACATTGTCGTCCACTATCTTCCGTTGTCAGTTTTATTAATTTTAAATTCACATGTTGCCAGCAATTACTACGCAATAGCTATGGCTATACTATACTATGCTAGATCTGTGCGATTTTACGAGCGTCTGAAAATCCAGCCCATAAACGCCCCAAAATTGGTGGCAATGAACGGCTTCGTCTGTTGCGGTTTTTTATTGATCCCTCTCACGGGGTTATATAACCCCAACCCAGCGATGACCTTTGCCTTGGCACGATTCTGGCGGCGGTTCTTGGGCTCTGCGAACGTCTGGGAAGTGCTTTATGGTCTAAAAACAGAATTTTCACGACTCGCGTCTGATAATGCGATTTAATCGCGGGGGCTTTAAAAACGACCGTCCGGACTTGAAAGAGTTTATTCGTGCTCGGTGTTAATTGATTGCGATTTAATGTGCAATTACCGGCGGAGTGGAAAGAGGAAGCAGTTTAGGGGGCTATGGGTATTGAGGTACTGTAAACTAATTTTGAACATTCTAACTTTAGCTGGGACACGTTTATGGATTCCGTTTATATTAGCACACAAGAAGATAATAACAATCCCTAACTTTCCCAAGTATTTCCTGCTTATTTTAGTTGATAAATGTTAAAGGCATATTTATCTTTGCAATCAAAATATACTTCTTATGAAATAATACTTAGTTTTATCATAACTTTTATAAAATACAATAATAATTAAAAGAAATAATTTTATAAATTAAATAGTTATTAGTAATATTCTCTTATTTTCCTTAAACATGATACCCTAACATATGCTAATTCTGAAATTTAATTTTGTAAACAAAAAAAACCTTTAAAATATTAGTTTTTTGCAAAAAAATTCAAAAGATACAGCTGTGAAACCGCAAACCCAATCACCCGTGCGACAAGGACGGATAATTGTCTGCTGTTCGGCTGTTCAGAAAAAACCCCCAACTTAGAAAAACACCGATCAGCACGCGAATCTGTCACCTTAATTATTCCACTTGCACTTGAAAGCAAAAGCAAAACACAAACAAACAATAAAAAAAAGAAATACAAATGACTTAATGCGCACAATTACTAATTAAGAAGCGCACTTAAACGCGCTCTGTCCCCCTCGCACAAAGTGCATTCGCCAGGCGTTGGAAAGGGACGGACATATGTATAGTGTAGGTGTTAGAGAAAGCAGATTTTTTTTTTGTATTTTATTTGTTTTTGACGAGTTCGTGAGTGACGACTCACCCTATTGGAGAAAAGAGAGGGGTAGAGCTGCAATTCAAGTTCAAAGTGGAAATCTAATTGGGCACTTGGATAAAAAAAACAATTGCCAAATGACATCTAATCGTTGGAGCGTGCCCCTTTCAATAAAGGACAATCGATTTAATCAGCCATTCCTTTTAGCCCCCAACCGCAATAAGAAAATATCAGCTTCAATCAAAAGTAATTGAAAACTTTGTAACCCGATTGCATTTCTAAACACTTCAGCCCCTAAATTGCCAGTCACTTCAAGGATGGGACAGAAAAGTACAGTTTGTAAAAGTGGAAAGGGTCACACTAGGAAAAATAATGTGGCCAAACTATTTTTAAGTTATAAAAAATATTGAAACAAATAGAATCCATTGGGTCTCAAATTCTATTATTCCAAGATTAGTTATTCTTGAGATACAAGAGAAAGTTTGAACTTAAGATAAAAAGCTGATGCATTTTATAGGGTTTTCCCCCATTAATGCAAGTGTTAAGGTCAATAATTTAGATGCATTACTACATAGTGCCCAGAACTAGTAACTTTCAAGATCAATGATCTCTCGGGAGTGCAGTCTCCAACGACTGATAATGCAATCGGCCTTTCGTGTTATTTGTCTCGCCGTGTAGGACTGAAATCGGAAGCAAATAGCAACAGTATTTGATGGAGGTGGTACGATGGCTATGAGGAGGGGGTGGGATGGGTGGTGCTTGGCTTCGTGGAGAGCAAGGCTAATAACTGTAGTGCTCTGGTGGCACAGTGACACACTGACATTAGTAGTGGAGAACCAGTTGGCCCTCTGTGTGTGAGTGTGTGTGGAAAAATCTACAGCTGTTTATCAATTCGAGTGGCACACAGATACTCGAGCACCCACACACACACACGCGCGCAGAAGGGGAGATAGAGAGGGACAGAGATAGAGAACCAACACGAGATACCAGATTGTAAATGAAAACGCCGGCTCAAGGTCACCCCCCGCCTGTTACAACAATGCACCGCCCACCCACCCCACTCAGCGGGATATTTGCATAAGTGAAATATTTTCATTAGCATTATTTACATACGGGGAATTAACTATTTATTATAATAAACAACGGGCAATGGGGAAACGAGTTACCGAGTAAACACACATCCGTCATCCAACACCACCCCTTTATCTCAATTTTTATTCTCACTCGCAAGCCGCACTTTTTTTTGTTTTTGTTTCTTGATGGATCATCAAAATGCATGGCGAGTTTAGGAAAAATAATAGGGAGGAGGTCGCAGCTTGCGTTTTGAAACTTAATAAGCACAATCATTCCATTCATTTGAATACTTGCTTACACAAACAGGGGTACAGTTCTAAAAAGCATAATAAATATTCAAATGTTACAATGTTGTATACGAGTTTTTCTCCTTAAAATGATATATTACTGTTTTAGCTTCTATTACTATCACTTTAACAAGGTTTTTCTCACCAGAAGTCATTTTTGCTGAACACAAGTGTATTAAACTAGTTGTAAATCAATCTAAATTAATATTTAAGCGAAATTAAATGGTTCTCTGCTGACTTTGAAAACTGAAAGTGCTCCATAAATCGTGTTATTATATGACTAGCAATAATTTAAAAGTGTTAAAAAATCCTTAAAGGGTTTTATAAATTAGCTTTAATATATGACTATGATCTATATCATCTGTAAATGAGAGTTAATATATTTTATTGGATGATAAATAAGTAGATCCACTTGATAATTGTGGTTTCCTTAGTCCACTGTGCAAATGGCAACCAACCATTTGGCTTACAAAATTACGTTAACGAGTTTTGGACCTGATATAGGGGAATACTAAAGGGGAGATGTGAACTTTCAAACGGAACCCCAATCGCAGGCCCAGTCAATTGCCGTCAATTATATTTAATTCGAGGGTATCGCATGCTAAGTGAGCGACGAGGTCACCCCTTCAAAATTAACCCCCAGCGACAACTAATGGTTTTAGACTAACCCCCCATTTTTTTTTGTTTTTCCACCATTACAGAGCTGCCCGTTTGGAACTACGATGGAAGCTCGTGCTACCAGGCCGAGGGGTCCAACTCGGACACCTACCTGTACCCGGTGGCCATCTACAAGGACCCCTTCCGCCGCGGCAACAACATCCTGGTGATGTGCGACACCTACAAGTTCGACGGCACCCCCACGGACACCAACAAGCGCAAGACCTGCCTGGAGGTGGCCAACAAGTGCGTCGACGAGGAGCCCTGGTTCGGCATCGAGCAGGAGTACACCTTCCTCGACTTCGATGGTCATCCACTGGGCTGGCCCAAGAACGGCTTCCCCGGACCCCAGGGTCCCTACTACTGCGGCGTTGGTGCCAACAAGGTGGGTCCTCTAAAATAATATTCTTTTTAGATCATCTAAAAGGATTTATAATTTCTTAAACTAAAGATATTGAGATAGTAAAATAATAAAAAAATGTACCTGATATTTTTATAGTTATCCCTATATATATTATCAAAACATTCACATTATGCCTATTATTTTTACATTTCACCAACCAATGTGGCGTATACGTAATTTCCGTTTTGAGTTCATGTTTGAAGACTTTTTGTGATACCAAAAACTGAATTTAAATGTATTTAAAATTTTCTTTTTAATTATTATATAAAATAGGAATAGGATAATTCATTTTTGTTATCAGAAATTTCGCTTTGACCATATCAATTAACTTAACTATCTTTTTAAAAATGAGAATAGGATAAGCAACAATAAAGCGTATGCCTAATTTTTTTTGTTAGCCTTTTAAAACTTCCTAAAAATAATTCGGAAAAATGTGATCTTATAGTACAATATTAAATATATCTCTTGACTCACCTCACTTTTTCAGGTTTACGCCCGCGACATTGTGGATGCCCACTACCGTGCCTGTCTGTATGCCGGAATCAAGGTGTCCGGAACCAATGCCGAGGTGATGCCCGCCCAGTGGGAGTTCCAGGTGGGACCCTGCGTGGGAATCTCCATTGGCGATGACCTCTGGATGGCTCGTTTCCTCTTGCACCGCATCTCCGAGGAGTTTGGCGTAAGTTTGCAATGATTTCTTGATAGTTTTCAATGCATAACTTATGGGAAAACAATTCTCCAACCCACAGATTGTGTCCACTTTGGACCCCAAGCCGATGCCCGGCGACTGGAACGGCGCTGGTGCCCACACCAACGTGTCCACGAAGGCGATGCGCGAGGATGGTGGCATCCGGGACATCGAGAAGGCGGTGGCCAAGCTGTCCAAGTGCCACGAGCGGCACATCCGGGCCTACGATCCCAAGCAGGGTCAGGACAACGCCCGTCGTCTGACCGGCAAGCACGAGACGAGCTCCATCAACGACTTCAGTGCCGGAGTGGCCAACCGCGGATGCAGCATACGCATTCCCCGTGGGGTCAACGACGATGGCAAGGGCTACTTCGAGGATCGCCGCCCCAGCTCCAACTGCGATCCCTACTCCGTGGTGGAGGCCATCTTGCGCACCATCTGCCTGGACGAATAGAAGGGGTTAATGGGCACAGGCCCACATCTCCAGAGTTGTTATCGATTTATAGATTGTTGTTAAAACCACCTTCGATCCACTGACCCACTGACCCACGAACACCCGAACACCGAAAGCGAAGTTATATGCATACCGTAGGCTTAGTTTTTACCCAACGTATTTTTCGAAAACCCAGAACTAGAATCCTAAGGCAGCCCTTTTTGCTGATATTTCCCGTGTTTTTTTTTTCTTTTTTTTAGCTGCTGTTATTTAGGTTTTAGTGTGAGTTTTTTTTTGGACCAGCAATACACTAGATATGGTCAGCGAGATGAAGAAGATGAGATCAAGATGAGCAAGAACCCAAAAAGACATCCCCATTACACCCACAAAAAAAAAACAAGAAACATAAAGCTCTAGTATCAAACACTCCCCTGAGACCCCCATAAAAGACCCAACCCCCTACTTGTTAATGATATTAAATAATTAACTTTAATCCTAAACTACATACATATACTCTCTAGTTAAGAAAATGCACTAAAAAATAAAAAAAAATACACAATATAACAAAGATTGTTTTCTTTAACTGGTTTAGTGGGTGATGTCAAAAAAAATTCCTTTAAGGGCGGGGTTTTTTAAAAACTTTGGCTTGGATTTTGTACTTTTACTTTTTGGGTTCAATCAGAGAGATTCCGAAGAAAGTATTTAAGTATTATGAATATGATCTACAGAATCACTATGAATAAAAGAAATACATAATTCAATAATTTCAAATTAACCCCTTAACTCCGTAAAAGTATTATAATATTATGATTATGATCTACAGAATCACTATGGTGTCAGTAAATGATACATTAAATACTAGAAAATTTAAAATGCTAAGACCTATATTATTTTAAAAAATGAGATCATACATCCGGCTTTTTTCCTCGTCAGTCTCCAGCACGTGCTAATTTTTATAGATTATTTAGCCAACATACGTATAGACTATATATAGATTAAACTGAAGTTCAGTGCGCGGGTTCATTGATGGGGTTGATTTTTTTGCCTGGCCGATAAGCTAAAATTGCCTTTATTATTCCCAGAAAAAACTGCCTTCTGTTGGTTTTCATTTCATTTATTTAATACTAAAAATTGTAACTTTGATTTCGTTTTGTATATCTGTTTAATTTTTTTGTTTTCAGTTTTAGTTGAATTTTATTTGTTTCATTCTGTAGTCCTTCGGGTTTTCTCTGCGCTTCCGCTGTTAGTTGTATCGTTATATTGATATATTTATGTATATATATTGTTTTTTGTATATGTAAATGTAAAGTATATAACACTATTTGTTGTGGTATTTTGTCAACTACATTCCATTTTGTGATTTGAATTTTGTCGGTTGGTTTTTTGCTCAATGATCAACAATGAATGAAACAAAAAACGCAATAAATAAGTGCAAATCAAAGTGAACATTGAAGACCGCCTTTGCTCAATGGAAGCTAAACTTGATTTATTTGCATTAAGTATATGCTATATGCGAGTTTGCCCGCTAATTAATTGGATTGAATGGAGTTTCGACCGTTTGGCAGGGTCAACAAATCGTGAACGTCTGCTTTCTGTCTGGCCCAAAGTCGTTGGCACAGTCGCACACTGAATTGATAAACTGCAAAGTCTTTTCACATTTATCAAATCGAACTGACAAGGCAATAAAATTAGCTGCTATCGATGAGGGGATGGGGTTCATTATAACCCAACCCCCCCGCCCGATGAGTCACTTAAGTGGGGCTATTATTTGATCGGCATTTCGCACAAATTTCACACTCATTGGTCAATCAGTTAACACCAACTATGCGCGGGCCAAGTCTAGACTTTGGCCAACAATAATAATGCTCCATACGCATGTATAAATTTGTATAAACTATTTTAGATATCGTATAATTTGTGCCTTCGCTTTCCATAACATAATACGCAATTCTAGTGTTCTTGCCAAATTCTTAAGACTCGAGGCTGTTGGGGAATCAGATTTCTGATTTTCTTATTTTTGAGGGTAAATTTATCTTTCTCGGGAATGTATATTAAAATGTGTATTAAAATGTCTGTTAACTCCGCTGCTGATTGTTAATACTGCCCCAGCAGCCTCGTCTTTTAGCCGCAGACATACATATTTATATAGTTCTTAATCGTTACTAATTATCGCATAGAACAAAGTATGCTAATAATTTTGAATGGGTCGGGAACATAACTTAAGCATAATATAACAAACTATTGTGACATAATTTCCGCCTTCTTACACGCTACGAAACATATTACATAGATCTCTTAGTTCTCCCGCTACTACTTATCGGTTTGTCATGATGGGCAAATCAATGGAATTACACAAATTAAGTTAATCGATTGGTTAGGGGTCTTAATCACGGTAAGTAACAAACCTAAACACTGAGGACGTCATGCTAACAAATGATAATAAAAACATCTAATAGAAAAGAAATTCAATAGAAACAAAAAAAAAAAGGTAATATTGCACATGGAAAACGGTTCAACCTGAATAATTACATTGTTTGTAGATAAATCGTTAGTCGATGTCGAAATCGGTTTTCGCGACAAGCTGCCAAATCGCTTTATATCGGTATGGGTTCAAGGAGCCATATAAATCATACTTTTTTTTAGGGCTATAGACAAGCGCTACTGTTAACTAAGTTGAATATCGTAAGAAGTGTGAATATCGTATTCGTTATCGTAATATCGTTCTTGAACGGGGAGAAATGGGGCCCCTATTTTTCGTGGTTCTTTCACATATCGTTTTAAACTATTTTAAATAGTCGTCTCTTGGTTTTTTCTCATCTTGCATTTTTCTGTGCATTTGGCCACGCTTGTTACTTTGTCTTTCGCACTTGGTTTTAGTTTAGTTTTAGATTTATATTGGTTTAGCTTACTATACGAGAGTTACAAAATTCATTCCAGACAAATGTGTGTCAATATCATTCCACAGGATGAAATCATAATACAAATCAAGTGTATAAATCAAATGTTCCGTACAATTTTAAAAGTCGGCGTTTCGATTAACCTGGCCTAAGAACAATTCGATTCGTTTAAAACTTACATTAAAAGTGGTTCGCAGGATGCCTGGGTTGGGTAATGGGTTTTTTCTGGGGGTTTACATAAAATCCAAATGCCAATCTCCACTCTTTCGCATCGCTTCGAATCAGTTGCCATCGATCAAAATGTACAGGGGTGTAAAATACTCTCACAATATCGTTTCAATTGGGACTTTAAATAAATACATATGAGTGTTTTTCGATTGCAAAATGTAACAGTAATAAAAATATTGCCAAAAAAATAGATACAAATTATCATTACAAAATATCCATATCGTGTTAGTAAATCGATTCAGTTGCCATCGATCAATGTACAAGTGTGTAAAATACTCTCACAATATCGTTTAAATTAGGCTTTAAAATAAATAAATATGAGTGTGTTTCGGATTGCAAAACGTAACAGTAATAAAATTATTGCCAAAAAAAAATAGATACAATTAAGTATAATAAAATTTGCATATCATGTTAGTAAGGTTTAAACGAATATTATACATAAATAATGTTGTAATGGGATTGCAACTATTCTGCCGACTGCTCCTTAACTACTTCCTGTGCTCGATGCTGCTCCTTCCGCTTCCGCTTCCCTTTTTGTGATCACAGGCCTGCCCTTACATATATATCGACGTATATATATATAAGTATAAACGCTCCCCCATATCGATATGGGTGTATCCTGTACTGCCCTGGTTCTTCTCTCCCATCTCACTCGCTGCTATTCTCCTGGTTGTGGTTGTGGTTGTTGGTTGCTGAGGATCTGGATCTGATCGATCCATAGGTTATGTGGACAGCTCCGAACTCGCTCGCCTCACCATATTCAGTTCGTTGAAGTCGATGTCGGTCGACTCGATCGATTGGATCGATGAGCTGCGCAGCTTTGTGCCCGGAAACTTGCCCCGACTTTTTAACGCCGACAGCTATAGAAAATCGAACAGAATCTATTAGTATGTTGTTTATGGAAATATTTCTAGGAAAGAAATAGGCAAGAACTATGTATATTGACGATTACAAGGCTAAAGCACTCAATTAATTCTTTTCATGCGGCGTAGTGTAGTAAATGTAACAACTATCACATTTAAATGAAGATATTGTGTATTATTATAGAACAAAACTTTAAAGGTGTTTTATTCCTTAAATAAAGAAAAAAAGACCAACTTTATAATAGACATTAAAATGAAAACTTTCAAATGCTTTAGCCTAGTAATTTAGTAAACAAGTAAAACATAGATCCAATTACAAATAGAGCTGAATAAATGTTTGTGTGTAGAAACGTGTCTTAAATACCTTATTGATTAGTTGCTATGAATATGTCTGTTAGATAAGAAGGCATGCAAGCGTGCAGAAAATTAATAATATTACAGAACGTGTTTCTTAAAATCACCGGGGTGGAATAACACTCCCTCAGGGACTTGTACATTTCAACTAAAAATCGAAATCAATATTCAAAAGCTGATCTGAAATGCGTAGCAAGGTCGAAACGAACTCGTGTCAAAACCGCATCAACTGATGTCGGCTGCTCATGTCAAGATCAACGATCACAATACGTCACTACAAGTATGCAAAACAAACAACAGCGAAGATCGATTAAAATCAGGCACTTCCATGGCAACAACTAGCATCGGATGCAGTCAATCTAAGTACGAATACGATGGAGTCATTGACCCACATCAAAATAAAGCATAGATGAACATTCTACTAGATCGGAACTAGAAATACTCCCGGATAATGGTTTGTGTATAAGCCTAAAGCTCGCAAAAAGCTTTGGGAATTCGAAGAGAATTACACTAGGCAGCATGTAAAATTTATAAGGAATAATAATTCTTTTAGCACAATTTTTAAACCTAAATTGCTTTTAAATTAAAATGCTATATTGTTCTAATGCCTGAATAATTGAAATTTACTTAGTTTTTTTAGGTAACATTGTAGAAAATATAAAAGAAGGGCGTATAAGCTAGGATAGCCTTTAAAACTGTTATGCAGAAATCAAAACATTTAGTTTTTTTAAATCTATCAGTTAAAATTTTACCAAAGAAAAACTAATTTTGGGATTTCACATCAAAGATATGTCCTTCATGCATTTTTGAATTATGGAAACGGAATATCATGTTTATGGCGAGGGTCTAGAGGCTATAGAACGTGCAAACTATGGGATGGTAAGGTCAAAAAACACTACAAATACGCATTGGTTTAAAGTACTGAGATGTTTTGAGCAGTTTCATAGAGACCTGGGTATTTTGGTAGCTTGGCCTGCTGCTTGAGTTTGGATATTTTATGTTTTCGGGGTTGTGTGTGTGTGTTTGTGGCAATAGAGATTAGAGGATATTTGTGGCTTCTTGATATTCAAATTGGGTTTCGGTAATTTGCTTTCTTAATTGTTTTTCATTTTTCAATTTTTTAATTTTGCTCGCTTTGTTTCGTTTTCATTCAAATGGTTTGAGTTTTCGGTTTGTGTTAAAATTAGTTTAGCTTATCCATTTCCACGGCTCAGTGT